GTGGAATTAGGTTGAGTTTTGGGGCCCTCAAAAAGAGAGAACTCGTTTGGAAAATGTGAGGTCAAGACCTGAGGGGAAACTATTCCAGCTTCTGGTCCCAAAGGAGAGGGGATGAAACTAGAGAAAAAGACAACTGATTTTGGCAGGGGGCAGAAGAGAGATCTGGGACCTGAGTGGGGAAATGCAAGTAGAGAGAGGACCTGTGTCTAGGAAACATGAGGTAAGAGGTCCCAGAGAAGACTAAGGAAGGGTGCCTGGATCTTGAAGTAGGAACCAGTGATTAAGGAGACAGCGGTTTTCTGGGAGATCGAGAGATTCTTGTCCTGAGCTGTGGCTTTGGGGTTTGGGGAGAGGAATGAGATGAAGAAGGCTAAGCAGAGAGACTGCATGACTGCCTCTTCAGCATACAGTGGATGGGATTACTTTGCAGGTTGGCCATGATAGTCCTTCCAGCTCCAAGATTGTGTGAGCATCAATATTCTTTGAAGAGTCCTTAACACCCAAACTTGCCTCCTCATTACACTGGCTGATAAGATGGGAGATATGAGTAACTTAACTTAGAAGGCAGCTGTTATTCCTTTGCTAGTCTGGTCGATGGGATAGGAGGCCATATTGAGTTTGATAAGGTTGGGGGGACATAGCCAAAATTTTCCCTAGTTTGTACTTCACCCTCACCTGCAGAAATAATTATTTGTTTAATATTTTATTTTCCCCCAATTACACCTAAAAACAATTTTAACATTTCATTTCTTAAAATTTTGAATTCCAAATTCTTTTCTTCCCCTCCCCCATCATTGAGAAGGCAAGCAATTTGACATAGGTTATACATGTGCAGTCATGCAAAACATTTCCATATTAGTCATGTTGTGAAAGAAAACACAACCAAAAAAACCTCCAAGAAAAATAAAGTTTAAAAAAAACAGACACCTGCAGAAATTTGCAGACAGATTGGCATCTAGTCCTAGCCTCACAGGACATAACAGCCCTCAATCATCTGTCTTAATTAATTGCACCCTGAGCCTGCTCCATCCCTATGAGAACCCTTCAAACTTGGGAGAGCAGTGCCCCACCCATTCCCTGGAAGCTGAGTTTATCAAAAATGTTGTTCTTCTCTGTCACTCCTGGGCAAGAAATTAAGGTCATAACAGGCATTAGACGTCTGTTTTTGTTATATGTAAATATGTATTTAAGAAGAGATCTTTGGGATAGCTCTTATTACATAAAAGGTCTAAAAATTGTTTGGCCACAAACTGGGCTCTTGACAATAGAAGTCATGTTGCTAGAGGTTGCTTAGCAAGCTACCTCAGAGACAAGAAGGAAGGCCAGTAGAATTATCATTTTAAAAAATTCTCATTTTTGCAGAGTTGTAAAGTTCACAATGTTCTTTCCTCACAATAGTTAGGTGAGATGTTGCTTTATTAGTGTGGAAGGAACTCATCTTTCCTGGAGGGTTTAGCATTACAAGTTTTATTCCCATATCATAGGAGAGAAACTGAGGCTCTATATTCTAAGTGCAGGAGTGGGGAACCTGTGGCCTTGAGGCCCCTGTATCTAAGTTCTCTTCCAACTCTAAGATGCCATGATTCTCTAGAGCACACTGTCCCTAATTCCAGAAAGCCCTGTGTAAGGCAGGATAGATGAGCTACTGTCTGCACTTGGCACCATCTAGAGTTTACTTGCACTTTGTCAGTTTAAATTCCTGGAGACAGAGCATTAGAGCAGAGCGACCCAGGGATCTGACCTAGTATGGCAATTCTTATAACGTAACCTAAATCATAAGACCAAAGCAGGATTCTCTTTACATCAGCATTTCTGAAATAAATAAAAAGAAGGAAGGAAAAACGCTTAACAGAGCACCTCATAGATTCAGAAATACTGGAAGCTATCATCTTTGGATTTGGGAAAAGAAACGAATCATCTAGCCCGTGCCCACATTTGCTGGGAATTGGTAACTAGAAAGAGAAATGTAGGCAGCACTTTCCAGGAAGTTCTTGTGTCTCCCAGAATGTGAGGCCATTTCAGTTCTAAACTGGTCTATCAACTTCTTAATAGTATAGTGGAAAGGCGCCCTGACTCGGTGGCCCAAAGGCCACTTTGTCAGGAGATCTCTTTGTGACCTTAGGAAAGTCACCTCTCTAATCATTTGTTTCCTTATCTTTTAAATGATTGGGTTGGACCAGATGACTTCTACCATCCCTCCTTGCTCTAACATCCTAAGGTCCCTCCCTCACTCCCTATCCAGCTCCAACTTTCCATGAGAGATACCAGAGCATCAAAACTTTGTAATGAAATAATGTAGATTGGTTGCAAAGAAACTCAGTGATTGGTAGCATTATAATTAAGAACCTGAACAACTCCCCTTGGGAGAATCGTGACAGGAGAGTAAGTAGGATCTTGGGACTAATTTGTTTACTGCATTGTTGTTACAACTGATAAAATTGTGGGAAACCCTGTAACTTCTTCATGAATTAATCCAAGTAAATAAATACTCAGTGGGTTATAAATTGTAGCCTGTGTTTAAAAAGACCCCAAAACTGAACTTGCTTTATGACTAAACATATTCTGGGAAACTACTTGAAATCTTAGTCACAGAGTTTTTATTGCTAGACCTGAGAAGGACATTGAGACATACTAATAGCAGTAGTTCACATTCACATGGTATTTTACAGTTTACAAAGTTCTTAGAACATAATGTCAGAGTTGGAAGGGACCTTAGAACACAGATAGGCCATGTAAAATGTAGAATGTTAGAATATGGAACATAAAACATTGGCTATGAAAAGGCTTTTGGAGATTACATAATTCAACCTTCTCATTTTACAAATGGGAAAATGGAAATCCAGAGAGTGATTTGTTTAAGATAGAAGCTTGAGAGGCCAGGGAGATGATGGACAAAGAAGTGGGAATTGAAAACAATATGATTGTAGTGTAGTAAAAATGTACTATAACAAAGAATTCCACTGGTCTCATTCCTTTGTATTTTATAAAGAAAAAAATTTTTGAAGATGGATATTTATAGAAAGGTTTGGATGAAGAGTAAAAAACCTAAAGATGGTTTGCCCATTATCCCAATTTCTCAGGGGGTGGGAGGGGAGTACCAAGGATCCTATATTCTGTTTAGTTTTGATCTTACTGGAGACCACCACCTATAAGTTTTATGAAGAGCAAATTAACATTTGAAAATGCAATCTTAACTTGGTTGTTGGGATGAGAAATGATCACACATGCAGCTATTAAGTAATACAAGAAGCGAATTCCTTCCTATTTTGCATTTTATAGAATTAGTATTGTTGTTGTTGTTTTCTGGAAGGAAATTTATCTAGTTATCTAGTGTGACATTCTCATTTTCAAAGAAAAGTGATGCATTCCAGGCACTCAGCTAGTCTTTGGTAGAGGTAATAGCAACCTTAAAAACAGATATTGAAATTAGCAAAATGTTGGTTATGATTTTATATATAAACATTACTATATAGTGAATATGATTCTGATATTTTATTACTTAATAACAAAATTTGATAATATTTTTGAGTAAATTTTATTGTTGAATATATAATAGTGTATCTATTCTGTGTGTATGTGTGTGTGTTCCAAAAGTCTTAGTGCAGAGTACTGTCCTAGGTATTGAGAAAGATATACGAGGGGCAGCTAGGTGGCGAAGTGGATAGAACACCAACCCTGAAGTCAGGAGGACGAGTTCAAATTTGGCCTCAGACACTTGACACTTACTAGCTGTATGGCCCTGGGCAAGTCACTTAACCCCATTGCCTAGCCGGGGAAAAAAAAGAGAAAGAAAGAAATACAGATCAACAAGACTAGGTGCCTTTCCTCAAGGAACTTGTAGTTTGCTAGAGTAATATGACAAATATACAGGAAACTACAGTACTAAACAGATCTTAAATGTATTAGAGAGCTAGAAAGTGCTACAAATATTTGGAAGAAGCTTTTTGTTGGAGATTGAGGGATCAGTGAAGGTAAATAGTGTGGTATCATTCTGTTGCATTGAAGAAACATTTATAGTTTGAAAAGAAGTGGTAGAATTTCTGCCCCGAGGAGGAACTTACCATTCAGGATCATGTCATCATCAGAATAATAATAATAACTTAAATTCCCATAGATATTTAAGGTTTACAAAGTATTTTCCTCAACCTATTCCTATAGAAGCACTATTGTCTCCATTTTACTGATAAACTGAGGCTTGGAGAAATGAAATGTTTTGCCCCAAGCCACATGACTAATTAATTAATTAGTACATATTAGTTATACATTATACATATTAATACATATTAGCATGGGGAAATTCAACCCAGACCTTCCAACTGCAAATCCATTGTTCTTTCTACTATCACTGCTTGGAGAGTAGAATTTCATTATACTTTCTTGCATTTAAAAAAAAAAGTATCATTTACAGAAAAGGATAAAAAAATTAAAATTTTGGAAATGTAGATTTTTTTAAAATATGTAAGAGAGAGCTCTGGATTTGTGATGAACTCTCAGCTTCTTATAAACTGTTTGACCTTGGGTAAGTTTCTTCCTTTCTCTGAGCCTCAGTTTTCTATTCTGTAAAATAAGGGTTCGGGTTAGTTTATCCCTAAGGAGATCCTGAATGTTATGGCATTCTAAATTCTAAAGTCTATTCTAACTCTTAAATCTTCTTAAGGAAGATGAATAGTATCCACTGAATGAATGAATGAACAAATGAGAGAAAAGGCATTTATTAAGTGCCTATTATTAAGTGCCTACTCTGTGCAGAGCACAAATAGAAAAGAGAGACCATCCCTGTTCTCAAGGAGCTTAGATTCTAATAGGGAGAGACCACACGTAGAGGAGGCTTCTGTAGCAAATAGGATGGAAAGGCCCAGTGATCCTTAGGATTTAGGAGCAAAAGCAGATGGTAATACATCTTCTTTAGTCTCATTTCTTTTGGTAAAATGACATCCTTTTCTGAAGTTGAGCTACTGGACAATGCCAACAACTTTGTTAGTAACAGCCTTATTTTCTAGGTCTTCAGTAACTGAGGCTACTGAGGAGTTGAAAGGTGCAGCACCTCCAGAGGGGTTTCCTTTCCACAAGCATTGCTGGCCTGGCACTCAGCCATGTGGGCCAGGCTGGAAACAGGTCAGTGGTCTGGAGGGCCAATTCTATTCTCAGGCTCTTGGGCTTCACTGCCTGTCAGTGGCAGTTGGTTGGCAGTTGGTGTTGGAGATGTCACAGATGGGGCCCTTCCAAAGGGTTGCTCCCTTCATTTATGGCCAGCAGGATCAGGATAGAAGCCCGGCCGTTGATATGGGTGGTACTGCTCTCTTCCTGGGGCTCTTGGGCTTACCCTCCCATCAGTAGCAGTTGGTGATGGCGGCGGCTATGGCGGAGGCTATGGCAGCGGCAGTGGCAATCAGGCCCTTTCTCCCCAAGGGCTGCCTGTCCTGAATGATGGCTAACAAGGCTGGGTTAAAGCAGGGCTGATGGGTAGTGGGATGGGTGCTGCTGTTCCCATGGCTCTTGGGCACAGGGTCCTGGGACTGTCTCCACCTGGGTCTGAAAGGAAGTATAGATTGAGGTGGCAGGAGTATTTTGTTTCTGGAATGTCTGGCTAGTTAATGGTGGGAACTTTTTTGTTTATTCTCTTTGTGTATATATCTATAATTTATTGAATTTGTGTTTTTAACCTCTGTGTCTAGAAGTTTGTCTTATTATAGAACTGTCTCTAATCTAAAATGGACTTTGCATAGTGATACCATGTCAGGGCTTATATTCCCAGTTGACTTATCTGTTTATCAAGGGAGATATAGTTAGTGTTCATAATAAAAATGGACTTCTCTTGTTTAGCAAGGCCTGGGAAAGAGAGACAGATCATCAGAAAGAAGGAATTGACATGCTAGTTCCTCATTTTTGTTTCTCCTCTAACCCCATTTTGACTTCATGAGATCACACATCTGGTGGATCTGTTGGACAGTGTAGAAATATTAGGACAACTTTCTCTGAACCTCAGTTTTCTCCTTTGTAAAATGAGGATGATAATTATTGCACTACCCTCCTTCCCAAGGCCATTGTAGGAAAAATGCCTTGTAAGTTGTAAAATGCTTATCAAAATGGGAGCTATCATTCTTAACAGAGCAGTGTGGAGGTGATTAGAGTCCTGGCCCTGGGGATTAGAAAAACTGCATTTGACTCCTTGCTCCCCTACTTACTAACAGCATGACTCTGGACCAATCACCTTATTTCTCTGTTTCCTAATTTGTAAAATGAGGATAGTATTACTTCCACTGCTGGGCTTCTTATGAAGGGCCTATTATGTGCTGGGTATATGCTGAGGACATTTTATGAAGAAAGAAACCAAGATTCAGAAGTTGATCCAACTATCAGTAGTTCTATGGAAACACATTGCTCCATTAAGACTGCTAAACCCAGGGTCAAGAAAACCTGAGATCCAATATGGCCTCATAGACTTAGCAGCAGTGTGACCCTGGGTGAGTCACTTAACCTCTGTTTGCCTCAGTTTCCCCTACTGTAAAATGGAGGCAACAATAGTGCATACCCCCAGGGTTATTGTGAGGACAATACGAAATAATATTTGTGAAACATTTTGCAGACCTTAAAGCACTACATAAATTACTGGTGATGATGATGATGATAATGATGATGATGTGGAGGTTTGGATCTGCCTTGGGAGAGGGAGTACCACATTGATGAAGCTCTAGACCCTTGAAGAATTTCAGCAATTCCATTAATAGGACAATAAGTCCTATTAATTGGGGACTATTGTGAATTGTATCCAAAAGTGTGTTTTTCTTGTCCCTCAGAGGGGAGATTGAGTCCCCAAGCACATTGTTAGTCTTAATGTTTTCTCTATAGTATGCTGGCCCCAGGTGGCATTTCACTTAATATTAGCAGGCCTAAGTAAGAGACCAGAAGAAACTCATGACTCTGAACTATGGTTCTTACCTCTTAACTGGAGGAGAGAGAATCTGAGGCCTTGTTGAGAAGTTGGGCCTACAGAGGAGAAGCCCAGGGAATGATTGCCTTCTAGTACTTAAAAGGCTCCTGTGTGTTTGAGGGTGGCTTTGTCGAGTTATTTTGCTTGATGCTAGAAAGGAGAACTAAGAACAATGGGTGGAGATTAAGAGGAAAAGACTTACACTCAGCTGAGTGTAAGGAAAAATGTCTACATAATTAGAGCGATCTTGGAATGGGCTAGGCCACCCTTGTGGGCAATGGGTTTTCTTTTCCTAGAGGTCTTCACATTAAAGCTGAGTAACCTCTCAGGCTTCATAAAGGGGAATTCTTAATTAAATATAGGTGTTAAGCATGATGGCTTTTGAGAGATCTCTTGTAACCTTGATATTGCATGAGTTTTGTGTGATTTGGAATTAGGACCCCTGGATTCTAATATCTGTTTTGTACTTGATGAGCTTTAAGTGGCCTGAGTTACATTATTCTCCTTGTACCTCAGTTTCTCAGTTGTCAACAGAGATAAAGGTTTTCTGCAAGTGTGCTTTCGGAAGAGGCTGTATTGATGTGGCTTTTGACTTTTAATACTTTCAGATAAAGGGTCAAGATAAACTTTGGTTTTTTACCCATGAAAATCTATGGCAGTATGGTATAATGTAAAGAGCTCTGAACTTCAGATCCAAAAACCTGAACATAGGTCCCATTTCTGTCCCTTATTAGCCCTGTAACCAGAGGCAAATCACTTGAATACTGGCCTTCTCAAATGGAGGCATTCACATTTATGTAAGCACTTTATAGTCCTTATTTCATTTGGTCCCCATAACAATCCTTTCATTAGGGGCTATTATTATTCCCATTTTACTGAGGAGAAACAGACTCACAAGTGAAGTGACATACCCAAGACCACATAGTGAGGAAGTGTCCAAGTCTTAACTCCTAGTCCATTGCTTTATCTACTACCTCCCAAGGTTGTTATGAAGATGAATTGAGATTATGTATGAAAGTTGCTTCGTGAAACTTTCACAGAGCTACATCAGCATCAGCTGTTGTCATGGCCTCCGCTTGCCTTATTGGTTAAATAGAAGGGCCTGTTGACTTTTTATTCTGTGTTTCAACATTCTGTGTTCTCACATCCTTTTTTGCACCAACATTCTATGTGTGGCACCGTTTTCTAAGTTTTAATTGATACATTATGATGATAGTCCTTCCTCATTTTATTCATAACACACAGCTTTAATCTACTCATATCCTTAGTTTGTGATGATATCTTCAATTCATTTTCTCTCTCTGTCCTCTCCCTCCCTCTCTTTCCTTCTTCTTTCTTCTCTCTCCCTCCTTCCTTCTCTCTCTTTTTCTCTCTGAATCTCTCTCTCCCTCTCTCTCCCCCCCCTCTCTTCTGTCCTCCTCTTTCTCTTCCTTCTCTCTCTTTCTGTCTCTCTACTTTTCTTCCTGAATTCTTGAATCACTCCAGGGAACTTAAAACCTTACTGTATTTCAATTTGTACCATTACAATGATCACAACAAACATTTAAATAAAATCCTTACCACAATTTTTTGTAGTAGGTAGTGCCAGGATTAGTATCCCCTTTTTAAAGATGAAGGCTCAGAGATGAAAACTGACCTATAATATAATCAAAATAAAGTGAAACAAACATTTTTATTAGGCATCAGTTTTGTGCAGAATACCTAAGGTCATCTGGCTATTAAGAATTGGAGCCAAGATGTGCACCCGGGTCTCCTGACTAACTCCATATCTAGTGCTCCTTTTATGCTACTCCAAAATGAATGTCATTCCCAGGCCCCCTACTCAGTTGTCAACTTCCAGGAGGCTGGGATAGTGCAAATTGAATCACTCTGAAGTGGACATATATATTGCAATTCACATTATTTGAAAGTAAAATTATGTAAGATATGGTCATTGGTTCCAGTCCAATGGAAATGCACAGTGTGAGTTCAAATAATGTGACCACTTCAGAATATTCTTTATTCTGTACTAATAATAGAGATGTAACTGTATTTCAGTAAAGGTGTGATCTCACTAATGTCTATACCCCCTCAAGTAGCACAGATTATAAGCCATGTATACCTTCTGATCTTGTGTGACTCTTGTCCTCGTCTTCCCCTAAATCCTCCGTGGGAGATCACGCCAACTTTTGGGCAACTTCATCTCTCTTGGCATTTCATGGGCACAAAGAAAGGAATTTGTGTGCCTTGTTTATCTTTGCCTTTACCTGCAGTACCATGCATACATTAGGTACTTATAATAAAGGTTTTTGGAATTGATGAGTTTTTGATCTGCTGTCCACAGGCAGCAGGTATAATATAAAAGGTACTGACCTTGGAGTCAGCAGATCTGAGTTAAAATCTTACTCCAGATGCTTAGCAGGGTGGCCATAGGTAAGTCACTTAACTGTTCTGAGACTGGCAGTGATAGGTCTGCTGTAAGGAAAGCACTTTGTAAACCCTTTAAATAGTATAGACATAGCTGTTACTTTGAAAAAGAATAAAACCAACTGTAGAGCAGATTTTCAAATAAAACCCTAAAAATTGAAAGCAATTTACATTTTATTAAAAAATAAAACACTTTGCCATAATTCTAAACTCAGCCTTATATACTTAGAAAGCTCAATTGTGTGGTGATGCCTGCCTTAAGACATAACCAAGAGCATCTCTAATAGCCTTGTCATAGTACAGTGGGGAAAATGCTGGATTTGGAATCAGAGCTTGAAACTTCATCTCTTGTACTCTGTGACTTAACCTCCCTGGACTCAGTTTCCATACCTATAAAATGAGGGGGTTGGATTAGATTGAACAGAATGTAAAACTGTGCATTTTACTCAGTGCCAGGTACTATGCTAAGCTCAATTCTCTCCCTTGCTCTTTGGGTGACCTACAACATTTATTCTTTGGAGACTCCATTGTTTAAAGCCACCTGGCGTCACTGGAAGACTATATCAGTACATCGAGGTTCTAGGATTTGTATGGGGGGAGTACAATAGAAAAACTCGATGGTTCCTGCTTTTAGGGAGGTCACATTCTAATTGGGGGAGACTGAAATGAGAGTTCAGCTTCATGGCAGATGGAGAGAGGCCAGTTGGTACTTAGGATTCAGTAGGAAAAATAGTGGGGCAGAAGTTAGGGCCAGGTGGACCTTGGGAGACAATGGCAT